GGGCTGGAGTCCGTGCCACCCAGCGGAAGTACAATGACCGAGCCTTAAGTGTCCGCATAACCCAAATGAAGAGTCAAGCCACCATTCAAAGGATTGCATAAATATAACTACATGCGCTACCGTACAGATAATATTGCCGTTAGTCAGAAAATGGAAATCTAACCTCGAATACCACGCCTTCACTATAGTCACGACATCACGAAATTGACTGGGTGGTACATATGCTGACTTGGGTACGGGATAGCCACCTGAAAGTTGTGCAAAGTTGTCCTACGTTCACCTTTTCGACGCCTCTCCACTGTTGGTCATTTACAAGTTGACAGCGAGCTTACAAAAGTATTTTTCTCCTTGAATCGGGGATCTGATGTTAATTAACCGGAAGACCAAATTTGAAAGGCTCCTGTACACATCATCAAGTGAAAATTCTTCAAGACAGTTTCCAAAATTTTGTGTTTTAACTTGTTGCTCAGCCATAAAAGTGGGGTTGTCACCTGAGTCACATGCATTCGTCTTATAGTTGGCTGTATTAAATCGCATTGCGAACAGATCGGTTGGGTTTAAAACAATAAACGTGGCAATTTGAAGTAGATAGTCGGTTTTCTTCTAATAACGCGGCAGTGATTGTGACAGCCGGCGTTAATCGTACCTCATTGATGTGATGCGGTCTCGTGGAATTTCCACTGCCCTACTCGATACAGAACCCTTCGGTGCTTTTCCTAAAACCTCGTCTCTTCCGAAATAGTACCGTTCCACACGCTCCGAACGAATCCGACAATGTCAAAGCGGATGAAGTCTTTGGGAGACGGGCACCCCTAGTGGGCGGTTATCAGTTGGAAGACAAATTTAACTGCCTCATTTAAAATAACAATCATCTAAATTCATGTTATAATACAAGGCGTCATCTATGGCAAGAAGCATTAATAGAAACGCCTCAGAATGCAATTCACCGTTGATCACCAAGTGCGCTACCGCGGTTACAATAGAACCCCCCGTAAAAATCTACTGACTAACATAGATTTTCCTTAAGAGTCCCCCATTATACTTGGGCGCGGTCGGCTCAAAAGCAATACTTGTAGGTCACATAGAACTGACGAACTATATCTATTCCCTAAGTATGTGGCTTAGCTCTGTACCAACATGTTCGCCTACTAACACCAGTAAAAAAAAGATAAAATAAGCTACACAAACTGAAACACGAATCAGAATAGAGCTGTGAAAGACTCTCCGCATCTTACGCTATCGACGTATTTTTTAAACTAAAATATAGGTTGGTCGCAACATCGTCAAAGTGCCGTTGCCATAATTACTATTTGGGACACGGACATATCAACAAATCTGCCAGTCTCAGGGGAAAATCGACAGTAAAAATACCCTGTTATTCTGATATTATACCAGTTGTCAGTAGCTAGCTTTTTTCTTCCTATTACTACTTGTTACACGCGTAAGTTGCGCACTGGGTTAAAAAATAGGGATATCACATATGCGCGACGGTGATATTGAAGATGCCTAGGACGCTATTCTAGAGGAAAACACACCCCCGAATCCTGTTAAAGTCACAGAATAAACGCATTCAAAAACTCGAACCAATAACCACTTAGAAGAATAGTCTCGAACCAGATATGCCATGCACAAACTAAGTTCGAAAGCTGATTAATGAAAAGCAGATGATCGGCCAATTTTTAACCTATAAGAAGGAAACAAGAGCAGCTCCTTAATGCTACTGATCCACTAGCGACGAACATGATTCGTGCCAGAGCCTAGAAACTTTCATTCGTGTTAATCTGTCGAGAAGTAAATCGAAATGCAAAAACTTCATTGGAAATCGAATACGTTTTCAATACTTCTTTATTAAAAATGCATTTTCAGGCATCAAAAGTCTCAAAAAATAAACTTTACACCATCTAGCTGTTTTAGGCTATTTCCATTCTGATGCCAGGTGCACAGAAGGTGGTCTCAAAGACAGTGACATTCAGATCTTGAAGGAGATTTCTCACCCTGTCAACAGCATCCCTTGAGTCCATTGTCCCACAAGGCAAAGCGATAGCACACCCACCTCGACCAGCACCCGTAAGTTTGGCACCAAAACCGATGGTTCTCAGCCTCCTCACGATTTCATCAAGGGCCTCGTTAGACACACCAAGTTTGCAAAGTGCATTGTGATTCTGCAGGAACAGCTTGCACAAAACATCCCAAGAATCCCCTTCGAGAGGCGACGAAAATATGCCCTCAGCCTTTTTACAAATGGCACTTATGTTCTTAAAAATTTGATTACACAATTCAGGTTCACACTCACGGAACTTCCGAACTGAGTCGACGACGTCTGCCGTTGACCGAGGAGTGTTGGTATTTATTATTAACAACTTCGGCAAGTTATCACGCAGCATTGGGACAGATAATGGCCGAATAAGAGTACTACCATCAGTGGCATCCTTCTTAAACAAAATCATACCACCAGAAGCACTGATAGCAGTGTCAACACCAGAAGGAGAGGCATGCATAATCTTCTCCAACTCGTTAGCGAAAGACTGTATGAGGAGAAGTTCGGCTTCAGTCAGGTCAGGACCAGCGATGCGTCCGTACGAATAGAGGAAAAATGTGGCAACGACGGAGCAGTATGCCGCTGACGAGCCAAGTCCAGCGTTGATGGGCAGGGTCGAGGTGAGTGTGATATCCCATGGCAGACTAACAGTCCTTCTGACATGATACCTTGATTTTAATATGTGGTAAGAAAGAAGAATAACTGCAACACTTTGTACAATCTGATTGGGGACATTAAGTTTGGACAACAAAGTTTGTGATTTGATAAGAAAGAAATCGTGCATATCAGAACATATACCATTGGGTGGGAAATCAAAGGTAAAATCACTGGCTTTCAGGCAAATCGATCTATCAGTAAAATTAATAAAGTTAAGTTTAAAGGCAATGTCTGTGTCATCACATGGAATGATCCGGTGAAATTTCAAGGTGGTAGACGCATCAATGGAGGCAGCCAGGGCAGGACAACCATATACCACTGCGTGTTCACCAAACAGGATAACTTTCCCTGGTGCTGATATTGAAACCATAAACTTTCTTGAAGATTAGTACCACGGAATACAGTACACCTCCAGCGAATTCAAAAGTTGGTGCGCATTTACTACGAGGCAGACGAGGATAGGTCAATGAAGTGGTCCCGTTGCTCAAGGTGAAAATATTAGAAGCCTAAGCTGTAGAAGGCGATATTAGTAAAATAATCAAAACAAATAATAGTTTGTGTCCATCAATAATGCGTAAAGTTTTTTTCGCGCATTTGCTTATTTTCGTACTTTTTGTGCCCCATTAGTATAATCTCTTCAAAGGGTCAAATTTGGAAGCATTGAGTCTTCTCTCCTGGTATTACAAGCTTCACACAATTATTGATTTTTAAATCTTTGCATATTATGTGCCGAGAAATAAAATTTGCCCCATTGTTTATTCGATGATCAAAAAACTTAGACATTATTACTAAACAGCATTAAATGGACTCATCTTTGTTCCTTTGGCACATGATTGCGGAAAGATTTATGTAGCACGCCATGCGTGCGTGTTTTAAAGGGGTAGCTGCGCGCGGGTATTTCAAGTCGGCGGTGCTCCCGATGTTCCATTTGAGATCTACGACTTCGTTGGCGCGGTGTATGTTATGTGTGCTGCAGATTTTATTTCTTTCATTTATTTACCCATTCGACTCAATGATTGCTTGCTGTTGACTCTAGGTATTGTTAGTCCGTATCTATTTCGGCGTGCAAACACTTTTTTCCATGCCATTTGGACTAGTTTGTTTCCCTTGTTGCTGTTCTCGAATTTGTTCTTGTTTTTTCAATGTCATTTCTTAGGATTCCTGTTGGTTACCGTCCTTGAAGGTCAAATACTTTGTAACTATTGTATGGTCTGACGATTTTAGGCATTAGATCGGCATGTTTAACATCCCGACCCTTGCTGCAAGTCCGCATGGCATCTTCCAATCCCAAGTATCTTAACGATGAAGAACCTTATGCCGAATTCAAAGAACGCTTCATGCGTGCTTTTAACCGACCGAATTTGGACGGGTGGTGGATGCGCAAGTACCTTCAGGACTTGCACCTAGAGGATATCATACCAGAACCGGATATCGTTATTGCTATCTTTAAGGCTTGCCGACGTCTTAACGATTTAGCTCTGGCTATTAGGTACCTTGAAAGCCTGCATGTAAGTGCTTCCTCTATGAAAACCTAAATTTGACCACCTTCGAAAATCAGTGTTGCTTTGATTCTTTTATGCCCGTGCGTCTTAGTAATCAGTTCTTAACTCAGACAGTGCACAAGAGTTACCAATTCTTGAAACATAAGAGGTATGTCTTGACTTTTTTTTAAAACTTTGCAGCATAAATGCGAGATAAAGCCGGAACTCTTCCCTTGGTTAATGCAGGAAGTTGGGCCAACCATGAAGGAACTCGGTATTCCAACGTTAGAAGAGTTGGGATATGACAAACCCGAGCTGTATACCTTAGACTATGACGATTAGGTCCTCTCCTCCGTAGTCACTCTCAACAGTACTGCTCCCCACGTCATGGCTTCATATCTATGTTTTTTTCCTTTTACGACAAGGTTATATTAACCGAGTTTTGTTGTTTGTAACATTCTCTTATGTATCTGCATCCACGTTGGTAGGTTTTTTTTTTTTTCCTAAGGAACAATATCGGAAAATCAAATCCGATTTTCGGGGTTTCGTGGGCGCCAAGCCGTTGTGGGATGCCCTTATGGAGTTTAAGTGATCCGTTCCTTGGCGTGCTGTCCTTTAGCCACCGTAGAGGCCGGACGCCCTTAAAGCGTCTTCGTCTTGCAGGGATTCGCATCTCTGGGGTGGGGTCGGTATGTGGACCCTTGTAGGGTTTTTGCTTCTTTAGTGAGGTTAGGACCAACAGCAGGCCGCTTCTGCATCATCAGGAGGGAAATGGAGATGGACTGCGATGCGCTCATGGGGAAATATCCGACCCATGACCGGGCGGGTTCGCGCCTCGGTCGCTATTTATGGATTTTGAAATAGGGGCAGGACTATTTCTACAGGGCAACTTCTCCGGCAGTTAGGGCTTTGGAAATGTTAGGACGGAGGGACGTCACTGACTTTCGACGTGGCTTATGCGTTCCCGTAAAGCAAATGTTAGCAAGCTAGTAGGTTGATCGGTAAGCTGCGGCCAACATTTTTGACACACAGGAAGAGAGATCGAACTAAGGACTCCTTTGGTGAGTGGGCCATGCCACGCCTGCGTTTCCATTTGCATTGGGAGTCTCCTTTCCACCCAATATGGAATGGTGTGAATCGTTTACACACGGGAATGCAAATGAGGAACATTTCCTTGTCCTTTGTAGCGTCCCGAGACTCCCTGAAGACGAAAGGAGACACAATACTCGGGCAGAATGTATGCATTCAGCATAGAGAAGGTGTTTGGGGTACTGGAATGGCCCAAAGTCCAGCCCACCCAGCGAGGAGCAAGAAGGCCAATTCGAGGTCCAAAAGTTGCGCCTCACCAATACCGAGGGATAAACCGTCATCGTATTACACCTTACTAGTCAAAAATGCCGAGGTTTTAAAATTTCTAAATTTTTAACTAAGCAGTAGGGGATTGTTTTGAAAAATCGCTCATTTTACGCTAATCAAAGCTAGGGTTCCGATTCTTTCAAAGTTAAATATAAATATCAGAAAAGCGTTCCTAGCATTCGATCCTTATATATTTGTACTTCAATGGGGTGTTATGAAATGACCAGGACTCAGGTTTGAATTCTAAGCAAATTGAAATCTAGTAAAATAGCAAACATTTTCTCAAAATACTTGGTCGTTCATTTGACACGGCTTCGTTCAAGAAATTATTTCCTTCTCCTTGGTACCAAATTAGTAGCCCTAAAAATTCTGTGTATACGGAAGAGTTACACTTGCCTTTGGGCTGAACTCGATTGTTTGACGTTGCTGCCTTTGATATATTAAACATTGCGGTTTTTAAAATACTCGTAAATCCATAGGGAGATTACAAGGCTAAATACTCAGGATAATCTAAAAAAAACTTTTGCCCCATAAAATGCTTCTAACTCCTTTCCACATGTTTCAGTTAATTCTATATTTATCTCAGCCAGCTCCAAAGTATAATGCGCTTTCATAGAGTTAACAATATTCAAAAAATTTTGCACCTACTCCTTTGTGTCTATAGTAATAGATTAATGAATTTGAAATCGCCCTACATATTTGTGCAATATTGGGACATTGGCGTTTACTCAAAAGGATTTTACGAAATCTGCTTGAGAATTTGGTACTTATCAGCCATTACGTGCTTGTTTTCATACTGAAATTACATTTATTCATTTGTCATGATTCCTACAGAATTCTTACCCCCCTATATTTTGTGCTAATTAAGTAAAAATTCTATGGAGAGATTCTTGGAAAATTGAGTACCCTAAGCCTCACTCTTACAGCCTCAAAACTACTTTGATATATTTTTGTGAGTCCGGAAATACAATACCTTAGACTGTCTGGTTTTATTCACAGAGATTTATCAAAACGTGTGATTATCATATTTTCGTTGGTTTTCTTAGTTTTCTCCTTGAATAAATTAGCGACCAGATTATTTATTCATTATTTTCAAACTTAGTGATTGCAATGCTCCAAATGAATACGCTATAAACCATGGCTTTGGACTCGGAATTCCAAACGTTCGACGATCCTTTTGGTTTATGTTCTCATTCTTCTCCAGCCCCCCGTACCCATATTAATTATGGCAGTAACGCAGTGGGAGGTAGGTTTAAGGTTTTGCCAAATAAGATTTGGACTTTCAAAAGAATCTTTACTCAATGAAAATAATTTATCAAAAAGACCCGAAGATATCCTCAGTCAAGGTTGTAAAATGTCGATTTCGTTATGATGATTGTAGGATCCTTTCTATTACAACAAGCTGACGAACCAAGGACCAATATAAGTCCCTCTGATCTAACTAGAGTGAATGGAAATTTAAATAGCGGTCCGTGAGTTCTACTTAAAAAAGTAGTATTTTTTAAGGCACCAAATTACTACGCCTTTCTCAGATGGTACACCTTTGAGTCTTCTTGAAGATCTTTCCAATCTTCGTTTGAACGCAAATGGAAATAGGTAACACGCTATGACTTCACAACCCCTGTTTTAGTCCTAGCAGCACTCCTAACAACTATGCTCACCCCAATTATTTGCTCGAGACCAACAAACCGCAGTATGTTTGCATAATTTTTAAACTTTATGACCTAAAGGAATTTCTCCACTCTCTCAAAACCTCGACCAGCGTATCCTTACGATGCCTCTCTTCAAGAAAGTCCGGATGCTGCAAGCGATACTATCGACTTAAAGATGTACATTTTAATAATTTTCTTGCAGCCGGTATTTAGAATTAATTCTTCACTTTATTTCCGTTACGTAGGTTTGAAACTTCCTTCAGAGGGGATAAAAGCTTGAATACGGGAGGGTTGGAGGAAACCACAAAATCAGTTATATCGGATGTAGCTAGAAAATCAAACGAATCATTAAACAAGTCTAAAAACGATTCGGCTGTCATCAGTAAAAGCTCTAAAGGTAAGGTCGTCTAGTCAGGTATAATATTTGATTTGCTTGAAGACCCTTAATTACTTTGCCTCTTAACTAGAGTAAATAAATATATTATCCCTATATGTATTTGCTCATGCATTAAGACGATCTTAAAGAATGCAGTTTTTCCAAAGAAATCTTTTTCATTAGCATTGCTCTCTCACATTTACTATGAAAGCATGCTTTTGAATGACTGGTACTAATTGCATACTACTACCCCTAGGTCCTTCCCGTTCGGGAGGTCAAGAATCTATGGCGTCCCCAAAAGTGGAAAGACCGTAAGCATTTTCACAATAACTTAGACTCTTATGCTTTGCTCCTCATTTACCCTCATGCTTTTGGATATAAAAAGTGGGCACTGATACTGGTGTCTAGTTACCATCCCGACAAAATTTACGATTGGACATCAAATTTTGACGCATTTCAGTTCAACGTGATAAATTTTTTTGATGGAATTTCGCCAAGTGATTCAGCCATTTCGTCTTCAAAGGGCCATTTTTAGGAGTTATGTTGGTAAAAATACTCGAAGTCTCTATGAACCAAAAGACAGTTGTTCAGGAAGTTGGCAGCAATAATCAATCGCATGAATAACTCTCTACTCTGCTTAATCAGTTCCTCCAAAGTGAATGCCCCCACAGGACCACCGGCAGTCTTGAGGGTCGGTGCTACTCGAGGCAACAAGAGGGTGATCGGTCTTGTCCCCCAATCCACACACCATTACCAGTCACCGCCTCGACCATTGCGACCAACCGCGCCGCCTTCGGCAGCGCAATCCATAACCTCAAGTGGTAGTGGCGGGGTAGCGGATGGGTTGGGGATGAGGGACGGACGTCCAATTCGGGTGCAGAGCTCCCTCGAGCTGCGCGATCTCACCTTCCAGACGTGGTGTGCCAAGCGCGGCAAACAGTACCTCGAGGAGAGGCGCTCTGAACAACTGAGACGAATGCAGGCGGAGGAAGAGACGAAGAGACAGGTGAGTTTAGACCATGAAACTGAGTTGAGCACCGTCAGATCCGTTTGGTTTCCTTTGTGCCAATTGATTCAGGTAATTTTAATCACTTAAGCTCGTTGAGAGAATGAGTGATCCAGTGGTAAGTGACCGGCTTCTGAAGAAGGAGGTACATTACTGAATATCTTTGGTAATTTTACATGATCACTGTAGTTTTTGTCATGTTAGAAGCCAAGGCTATCGCGCAACATTGCTGTTCCTAAAAAAATGAACTAGAGGTGGTGAAGATGTGAGTGAATGATCATCATCCTGTCATGAGGAGCCCCCTAGAGTTCACTCTTTGCGCACAACTAACATCTTCACACTATTTGAGCATTCGGATTTCATGAAATTGAGTAGCTTTTGACCAATTTTCCATACTGCCATGGTAAAAGTCACTTGAAGCTTCTTTGAGTGCTATTACTGCATCACACTTGTGATAATTATGTTGTGTGAGCCTAGGTTTCCTATTTGAGAGCTAAACGTGTGTATCCTGGTTTTTTGTCCCCACTTTTAGGTATATCGACCTTCTTTCATCGCTGTCGCTTGACTCTGTTTTCAAACACAGTCACTTCTTTAGCCCATGTATTCCCCTTAGTCGCTTTGATAAATGAAAATAAGCAATTATTTAACAGCTCATTTACTTATATCACTGATTTTTATAACAATAAGCTACTTAATTTGAGTGAATATCCACTTCGAATGATAATAAGCGAATCCGAGGTTCTGGCACTGGGAGCACTTGTGCCAAAGTCCTGACAATTTTTAATAAAACAGTGAAAGTTATCTAAAAAAACAGTGATCTAGCCTGACAGATGGGGTGGTTTTATAAGGACCGTTTCTCATATATTCACCCAGATAAACGATAGAAAAGCATGAAAAACGAAGCAAGACTGAGATGTCCACCTCCCTGCTCTCTGTCAAAGAGATGCTATTACCTGCCTCCTTCAATCCATCATTCCATACAGTCGGTGCACTCCTAGAACCCGATCATAGTTGATGTATCACTGTTCGGAACGCCTTATTTGCCTTTATTCATCTAGATGCTTTCACCACTCGCTTTAGAAAAGTGAGGTTTGCAGAGAGGTGCACTCCCCTGTTAGGTTATCATTTGGGGAAAAGGAGATGAATTTTGATGTAAAAGTTAGGTCCGCTGCCCTGCTGGATGTATTCGCGTCCATTGATAAACCCTTTAAGCAGAAGAAAATGTAGAATTTCTCGCTCCAAATGAATAGACAGTAGAATTGACTGTAACAAAATTTCCTCAAATTTTTATCGCTATATTGCACGTAATTCAGTGGATGCGAGTGTGAAATTATCCACCTGTGGTCTGCTGGTACGCTAAACGTCATGCCAATAAAGTCACTCAAGTGCTAGTATCCATTCTCAAACGGTCGCCAATGGTAGCCATCTATTGCGGCAAGGTATGCTCCAAACAAAGGCGACCAATGTAATAACGAATGTAAAAATGATAAACAACGTCAAGTCAAGGAGCGGTAGGATTAGGTGGCCACGAATACTATTAAAAACTTCCATAGTTGCCTTTAGGTTAAGTGATTGATACGAGTGTTGGTTTATGAAGTAAACAGTGCTTCGACTTTTTAGAAAGTGGAAAAAGTTAAGCAAAATGAGGAGATATTTACAATGTGGGTAGCAAAGAAACGAGCTCAGGAGACGGAAGAAAGAAAGAAGCGACAGAAGGTAGAGGAGGCAAAGCGAAAGGCAGAGGAAAGCAAAAAGCAGCACAAGGCGGAAGCCGTAAAGGTATGCCACTTAATCCACTCGTGGATATGCTTTTGTATGACTTTCCCCTTCAGTAGAGAGGTCTGTTGGGGTAAGGGCACAAGGATGCAAAAAGCCGATCTGGAATAAGTAGAAAAGGTCCAGATGAGAAAAGTTTGGGTTACTCATCCCTTCAAATGGATCCGTCTGCTATGCTGACTGCTTCACTGGTAAATCCTTGGGAAGGAGATACTAGATTGTCCAATGAAACAGTGGGGCTTGCATTTTAAATTTGTTTACCTTTGAAGACATAGATTTTCAGATGATTGAATGGGAAGTGTTTTGCCTCTAGAAGAATGTTTTAAACTGTATTCAATATCTTTAGCCATCGTTATTGCAATGTAGCGCCCCGAGACTTCCCTGAAGACGAAATAAGACATAATACCCGGACAGAATACATGTTATCAACGTACAGAAAGGCTGGGGGCTACTGACACGTTTTGTAGGCCACACCGCTAAGCGGAAACGCAAAGGCGAAGCCTTAGGCATCCGAGAAACCCAAACGAAGAGTTAAACAAATAATTAAAGTTTCATACAGCCCCTCTCCTTTTGAGCATCGTCTTCGGTATTGCCCTTGGTAAACTTCCCACTTCTTCCATCACAAAGTAGTCAGTGCTGTATGGAAAACATCCACGAACCAACTGCGTCAACCGTCGAATTTGCATGCAACTGAGAAGATATCTAACTGTCACATCACTGGATCTGGCGTTTTGTCCTGCTTGGAGACTGAGTTGGGGAAAGGGAGATTGCGCTAGACATCTAGCATGTCCATCGCTAAACGTAAAAATACTGGCCTAAATAGAGCGTTATCTTGTAGAGGATGGGGTTTAACATATTTTCGTGTCTGATCTACGTTGTCACATTGTTCCCACTTCAGTGCTGCCCAGCCATATCTATCCAACTAGTAGAGAGGTGGAGGAGATAACACGAGCTCACTTCATTATCGTCTTCATACAGGTATCGTGAATGGTCCGTAACGAATTTGCCCAGATGGTTCACGGCCACGGCTGGTGTCGCTTCAGTTGGCAATAGCATTCCTACAGAGCACAGAACTGGGATAGTTGCCGAGGATTGACGTCGTTTTCACACCTTTTGTCAGGGGTCGTCACATATTCCTCCATCCGCAGCATACGCTCTTCTTCCATTACGTTAAGGCCTAGCCTTCAGGAATAGAAAATGGAATAGTTGCCCTTTAGGGTCAGATTCGCTTTTCGCTGCCACCGATGCAGCGCTTTGGGGCTTCCATGAAGACTATGGAAGGCATGATTCGACAGAATATGTATTGCCAACGTACAGAAGAGCTGGAGGGGTACTACTGACATGACCCGTAGGCCGTGCCCCCAGCAGACGTACAGAATAGGCGCATTAAGTGCCCGTAGAACCAAAACGAATAAGCAAAGTGCCACCATACTATATCCAATCGCAAAATCAGAGTTGAGAAATTTCACGAATGTTCTTAACTCTTTTACGTAGAGGAAAGAGTTGTTGAAACGGAAGTTTGAGACCAATGGATACAACTCGTTTTTCTCCTTGTTCATTAGATGAAAAGGGTTGTTGTCAATAAATTAAACAGCCAAGAATCGTATCCGACTTATGATGACTGCAAAAGGTGAATCAAACCGCACTACTGGTGAGTCGGATCCGAATATGAACGACATCTACGACATTGTTACTGTGTTGCATCGCCGCTAACATTGCATTCCTGGGGAGTCCTTAACATGACAGAGAAATTAAAAACTGTCACAGGAACATGGGTAGAAGAACCGACAGTCTATTGCACAGATATGCTGGACCACCTGTGTCCACATCCATGTCAATGGTAATCTCTAAGGCATAGCTAGTCCTAGTCAGACATGGATCGGGAGCCAGAAAGGTTGATTCTCACGCGTGAAGCCGTTACTGGTCGCCACGTTCGTCTTGAGCATCCAGATTGTTCCCCTGAGCAGGGACACAGCTAACGTAATTGCGTCTTCGCGCGCTCCGTCCACGTCTGTGCGTGCATTCCAGCAAGCACAAAGTATAAACGTGTTGATCCAAAAGCAAAGAAATCTGAGGTACACTACTTTCTCCATTGTAGGCTTACGAGGCATGGAGAAGCCAGAAGAGTAGGCAGACGGAACGCAGACGCTCCGTTATTGAGGTGACTCGGGAGAAAACCGTGGAAGAGTTGAAAAGAAAGTTTGATAAAGCGGTAGCTGCCCAACTGGCTTTTGAAGCGTGGTAAGTGTTGCGTTATTCGGTGTTCCACTCACGAGACAAATGTGACAAATCAGAGCACGATGACGAACATCATCACCTCTTCTTCAATTAATCTCATCATCCCCTTGGATGAAGATGACATGATCTTCATTTTGTTCTTTTAAAAGGCAGAACGATATCCCGAACACGTTCGAATGTTACACAGAGGTGGTAACGACCCTCCTAACTCCTAATTCTGATTCCAGAATCAATTTCTTAGGCCTGACTCAATTCGATTCCTCAGAAATCAGAAGAGATTGGACGCTGAAAACAACCTTTCCAATAATTCTTTTGTGTGAATGGTAAACACTTAAATAGTGCAAATTAAGCATTCCCATTCAATCCCCTCATCCATGGCTCTTTTCGTAAAGGCTCCCCTTTTCAAATGAATTCCAGGATGTGGTATTCCTTTGCCTATTTATGAGGTCGGCGGTATCTGGCTTTTTCACTCATTCAAGGATGACTGTTCATCGACAATGCCTTCCGATCCCATGCAAGCCTGAACAACACATAGGTTCCGACTAAACTTCTCCCTGTGTTTCTACAGCGGGAAGATCATTTCACACGCATCTTCAACTGTCCTCAACGAAGGGGCTAAGCCATCTAACGCCAAATAATCGCATGATTCAGATTACCAATTCAACTTTTGTATCTAACTTATTTTTGCATAACAGATTAGAGTCGAAACAAAACATTCTCGTGAGGATTGTCACTGACTTTGTATCGTTAAATGCAACTTCTGATGTCGTTCTATAGCCAAAAATAGGCAAATCAAAATCTAAGTTACCGGATTAAATCTAACATCCAACCAACTCCTTCGTACCATCCACACGACACTAATGCTGAAGCTCGACTTGGTTTTCTAGCTACAATGTGAAATAAGGAATTCTCATGAGACCTCCATTTTTTCATTGACGAGGAATGAAATTTCGATACGCATAATCCACTCTCCTTGTAGGATAGCAAGTTATCAACTACATCTTTAAATACCCAAACAGAAATCACTAACTTTGAAATTTCTGTGCGTTCGGTTTTGCTTAAGACGAGTCCTAGGATGAAGGAAAACCTCAAACCTGCATCTTCTACCTTCGTGTTTAAATTGAAACTAGTAAATGCAGTAATTTTGTGGTTGCATTCAAGGCAAAAGCAGGCAAA